CCGTTTTATCATCGTGAAGAGCAGCACATTCTCTCTCTCTCTTTTTTTTTTTCTTTTTGATCTTTTTGAGACAGGGTCTCGTTATGCAGATCAGGCTGGCCTTGAGCTCACTTTGTAGCCCAGGCTGGTCTCGAACTCGCAAGGATCCTCCTGCCTCAGCCTCCCAAGTGCTGGGATTACAGGCGCGTGCGCCACCGCGCCTGGCCCTAGCACATTCTTTTTAAAATGAGACTTCCTTTGTTTGGATTACTTTTAATGAACAGGTGGTCTTTTCCAACTGAATCTCCAGTACGTTATTCTTTCCACTGGTTTCTATTATTTTCTATTGTCCCAGCTACCCAAGTGGCTGAGGCAAGATAACCTCATGAGCTCAGTAGTTCTTGATCCCTTGGGCAACATAGTAAGATCCTTTTCTATATGTGAGAAATCCTTTATAAGTTTGTCAGTATTCACACTGCTGACTTTTTTCGTACATCTTTCACTGCTTTGATTCATGCTTGAACGTCATCCCCAGTTCCTCAAGGTTTCTCCCGTCCCACCCAGCGTCTGTTCCTCCGATGGTCCTATGTGATTTTAACCTTTGTGTAATTGTGTGTCTGTGAGTTGCGTATGGTGCAATGCTTAAATTTTCAGTCAGCTGGTTCATACCTAATACATATTTAAATGGTATATTTCCGTATTTTAATCTAGGGACACTGGCTGTTGTACAGTATCTTATTGATTCTATTAGTTTCATGTTGGTACTTTAATTTTTTCAAAATATACCCTAATTTTATTTGCAAGTAAATATGATTTTATTTATTCCACCTTGTTATCTGTTATTTTTTTTATTGTTGATTCTACAGTTTTGTCTGATTCCATGGACATAATTTTAGGACTTTTGTCCTCTAGATTTTAATGTATTGGACTACATTAATTTTTCAATAATACCTCTAATACTTTTGATAGTTTCTTCTCTATTTTCATGTGTGATCTGCACAAATGTAGAACAATGTAATATCCTATGTTCTGTGAAGTGATTATCATTTTTGTGTTGCTGTTGTTTTCTCTAATTTTCTGTCTTGGATCTCACCTCCATGAGGCTCAGGCATGCCCCTGTTAGGGCCCCTGTTTGCCTTGATCTCAGAGTTCCCATAGAACGTGGTACAGAGTGATGCGATGCCCTCATCTCATATCTCCCTCTGCCCTCAGTTCATGAGGTTCCCTCTGCCCTATATTCTCTAATTTTCTGAAAGTAATACTTTGCTCTTTTCTAATATGTGCACTCATTGTTTTTAGTATGTATTGAAGCACCCATTTTGGGTTTCTGGGATGACTAAAAATATATGTTTATTGTACTACATTGTGAAATCCTTAATAACTTATTAGACCATTCATTTGATACATGTCATTTGAAAATTTGTAGTTATATCTCACGTTCTTTTTTTTG